AAATCGTAAACTCAACACAGAAAAGAAACCCAGACAACCATGTTGTACTTCTGTTGAATACATTTTGGAGCAGTGCGTCACGTCGGAATATTGTCTAAAATAAAATATTCAATCCCAGCCAAATCTAGGTCAAAGGGTCAGATTGCGTGCATATAATTATAGATAGTTAAAACAAAAAGTATTTGAACTTTTGACGGTTGTTCAACATCTATGCACGGTTACTAAACTAGTAACCGTGATCTATGAAAACCAGAAAATTTTTAGTAGTCCGAATTGTTGCACGGTCGAAAATAAAACGGAAATTGACCGGTCAAAAGCGGAAGCGGTCAAGAGGTTTGGGGAAAATGAGTACAGTACTTCTTTGTTTGATGAAGCGATGCTGATGCCACATTGTCGCCATAATGAGGCCACAATGAAGCGAAGCGATAATCGCCTAACTTTTTAATGTCGCGACATTGAAGCGATGCTGAAGCCATAACAATGCCATAATGATGCGATGCTGAAGCGAAGGTGAAGCTGAAGTGAAGCCAAAGCTTCCGCGAGAACTGTACTGTATGTACCAAGTTTCACCAAAATTTGATTAGTGGTTCTTGAGATAACGGTGGAACAAAAAAAGTGACATACATACATACATACAGACATACAGACATACAGACATACAGACAGGGTAACTGCAAAGACTCCCTTTTGTGCTTCGCACACGGGAGTCAAAAACTGTCCACATGATAAAAAAAATAAAATTCAACTTAGTTTCACAGTTAGCGAATGATTTCAGTCACATGTAAACGGTCAATACAATACGATATCCGCCATGTTTTTGAACGCACACGGAACGTGTTTATTGACCGGATAGGTCAAGTCACGAATTAACCAATCAAAATGCCGGATGGTACCCACAAGTCAGATTTACCATAGCTCATTTAAATATGTTAATGACAGTTCAGTGACCTCATGGTGAATGCAACACAGAAAAGCTTTACCAATAATGTAGTGCGATCTTTCGGCTTTGTTTTTCCATAGAAAACGGCATGATTTTTTTTTAAATCAAGAAATTAATTGTTTTTCGAAAGATAAACTGAGCATTGAAGAAGAATTTAACACTTTTATGGTGGTAACAGCTCATTGTCGAAAACTTACCAAACACAGAACAAAAACAGTTTCATTGTGTGTCAGACATATCTTATTACCGCTGAATAATAAATAGGTGTGAATTGTTTCAGGCACGTTGTCGAAACAAACGACTAGGATTAGGAACAAAGCAGTTTAGCAGTTTTGGACCAGCTGGTTGAAACAATGAAGTCAGTCACGGTCTTGTTGAATTGGGGGTGCGGTTAGTAATAGGTAGTTTTCAAGTGTAAGGTAGCGGGACTATTATTTGCATACTTGTTTTCATCTTCTAATTGTAGCTAAATGACTACAAATAGACCCGGGAAAGTATATATTTTTAGAATCGCCAGACTTCAAGCTTTTCACAAGTGTATTTTGCATGCCCGTATCTGCAATCTACGTCGCGTTACTCAATCAAAGGTGAAAAATT